CCTGTGTCTGTGTGTCCCTGTGTCCATGTGTCTGTGTGTCCCTGTGTCCATGTGTCTGTGTGTCCCTGTGTCCCCGGGTCTGTGCATCCACACACTTGTGCATTTGTGTACCTTCTTGCCCATGTGTCCTTGCACTGTTGCATCCACCTGTCCCTGCACCTCTGTGTCTATGCATCCCTGTATCCATGTGTCCATATATCCCTGCATCTCTATATCCATGGGTCCATGTATCAGTGCATCCCTATGCTCAGGTGCACCTGTGACTGACCATCTGTGTCCATGCATCCATGCACCTGTGCATCCATTCACTTGAACATTCATGTGTCTGCATGTCCTTGCATCAGTGCATCGATGTACCATACATCCCTGCATCTCTATATCCATGTATCCAGACATCCCTGCATGTCTATATCCATGCATCCATATGTCCATGTATCAGTGCATCCATGTGTCCATGCATCCATGCACCTGTGCCCATGTGTCTGACAATCCCTGTGTCCATCTCTGTGCCCACATACCTGTATCCATGTGTCCATACAGCCAGGTATCCATACATCTGTGCATCCATGTGCTTTGTGCACCCGTGTCCCTGTACCTGCCCCCAGTCCTGCGCCTTGGGCAGGATGTGACCTCACGGGAGGTGGTGGCAGCTGGTGGTCACATCCCCAAGGCCGTGGCCAGCTCGGGATGTTCCCTGTGAGCCCCACAGGGCTCTTTCCCAGCCCAGGAGAGGGATCTCCAGCTGGAGAGGGACACGGCCGCTGGGGCTGTTTGGAGTGGCTGCCAAAACAAAAAAAGGAGGAAATAACCATTCTGTGGACAGATGGAAAAGTCCCGGCCGGGGCATGGGCCCTGAGTCCCCCGAGGCCACCCCGTCATTGTTCCCAGCCTGGGCTCTGCTGCTGGCACCGTCCTGGCGCCCTCCACACGGGATCTGGGCAGCCTGGCTGGGGTTTGGCAGCTGGGCTGTGTCACTGGGCTGTGTCACTGTGTCCCCCCCAGACAGGCACACAGTGCTCCTGCCTGCCCTGTCCCATTCCAACCTGCTCCTGCCCCATCTCCTCATCCCATCATGTCCCATCCTGCCCTTTCTGCCCTGTCCCATCCTGTCCTGTCCTGTCTTGTCATGTTTGTCCTGCCCACCCTGCCCCATCCAGTCCAGTCTGCCCCACCCTGTCCCGTCCAATCTTACCTGTCCCATCCTGTCCCATCTGTACTGTCACATTGTGCCACATATTTCCCATCCCATCACCCTCTCCTGTCCATCTCACCCTGTCCTGTCCCACCCCTCCATCCCATCCCATGCCTGTGCTGTGCCATTCTGTGCCATTGTGTCTGTCCCATCCAATTCCAGCTTGTCCCATCCAATTCCATCCTGTCCCACGGCATCACGTCTGTCCTGTCCCACCTGTCCTGTGCCATGGGACGTGCAGGGGTGTACACATGCAGATGTGCACACAGATGTGCTCTGACCCCCCTCACTCCCACCCCACACCCCAGTACAGCCTGAGAACCTCCAGCACCCCCCAGTACCCCAAACGCCCCCAATGCCCCCCAGCAGCCCATGGTTGGTCCCCACAGGCCTGACAGAGGACGAGGACATCAAGCAGATGCTCCAGGGGTCCCTGCTCCGGAAGGTCCGGGCCAGGGGGGGTTCCCGGGAGCGGCTGTTCCGCCTGCAGGAGGACGGGGTGACCGTGTGCTTCGAGGGACGCTTCGGGCGCACCCGCTCCCCCCAGAGCTGTGAGTGCACTGGGGACCCTCCCCGGGGGCTCGGGGACCCTGGGCCACATCCTGCACAGCCACGAGCTGCAGGGAGGGGCCAGGACCGGCACAGTGTCACAACAATGCCCACAGGGATTCCCACCCATGGACCAGACCCCTGTCCAGGACCTAGATCCCGACCCAGATTCCCACCCAGACCCCCATCCAGGACTCAGACCCCAATCCTGGACCCAGATCCCATTCCAGGACCTAGTCCACAACCAGGACCCGGACTCCCACCCAGAATCCAGACCCCAGCGTGAGACCCAGACCCACTCAGACCCTACCTCAGGACCTGGACCCCCATGCAGGACCCAGACCCATTCCCAGCACCAGAACCCCACCTGCACCCCCACCTTGGACCCAGACCACAGCCCTATTCCCAGATCCCCACCCAAGACTTGGATCCCCACCCAGAACCCAGACCCCACCTGAGTTTCAGACCCCCACCCAGGATCCAGACTCCAGCCCAGGACTTAAACCCCATCTCTATCCCCACCTGGGACCTGGACCCCAGACCCCCACCCAGCACCCGGACCCCAATCCAGGACCCAAACTCCCAACAAGGGCCCAGACCCCAGTCTAGGACCTGCACCCCCAGCCTGGGACCCAGACCATCACCCAAGATATGAACTCCAGTCCAGAACACGGACCCCCACTCCGGACCTGGACCTCAACCCACTGCACCCAGTGCTTCCCAGTGCCTCCCAGTGCCTCCCAGTACACCCCATGCCGAGCCCCCAGAGGCCCCGCCCTTCCCCATCCCCCTTGGGAGGTCCCGTCTCCATCCTGGCCAGACTCTGTCCCCGCTCCCGGCGTCACCCCTCTCCTTCCACCCTCTTGTCTGGGACGGGTGCCCGGCGCTGGCAGCGCCGCGAGGCAGCTCCGTCCCGTGCCCATCCCCGCGGGGACAGCGGCCACCGCCCCTGTCTCGCCTGGGATTAGCGGGTTAAGCCCGACTGCCGGGGGCCGAGCGCTGTCCCCGGGGGTGTCCGTGAGGGGCCGGGGTGTCTCGCCGGGATGTTCGCGGGTGGTGACGCGCCGAGGGAGCGGGTCCATCGCCACCCCCGCGGTGTCCCCGCAGTCTCGGTGACGCACGTCGAGGGGGTGCGCGAGGGACACCAGTCGGAGGGGCTGCGCAAGCACGGGGCCGCCTTCCCCGAGCGCCACTGCTTCACCCTCGTCTTCAAGGGCCGGCGCAAGAACCTGGACCTGGCAGCCCGCAGCGAGGAGCACGCCCGGCACTGGGTGCAGGGGCTCACCAAGCTCATGGGGCGGCTGCAGGCCATGAGCCAGATGGAGAAGCTCGACCAGTATCCTTTGTGGGAGCTCTGGGGGGGCTCGGGGGACAGGTTGTGGTTTGTGATTTCCTTACCCAGTGTAGTTGGATCCACGGGGTCCTGCAGAAAGCGGACAAGAACAAGGACAACAAGATGTCCTTCCAGGAGGTGAAGAACATGCTGAGGATGCTCAACATCGACATGGACAATGTTTATGCCTCCAAACTCTTCAAGGTACTCATCCCGTGGGTCCACCACCCGCTGTCCCTGCTGCTGTCACCACAGGGAATGCTGGCTCCTCCTCTGCCTCCTGCAGAGAACTGACCAACTCCTCACACCCAAAGCCACCCACCACTACCAACGGTTGGGGCCCATCAGGAGCAGGAGCACATGGTGGGGTGGGGTGAGCTGCCACCCCCTCCCCACTGCCCCCAGGGTCCCCAGGGTGTGACATTTCCTCACCATGGGGAGCTGTCCCCAGAGGCATCTCCCAAGGTTCCCTTTCCACCTGGGGAAACTGAGGCACGGAGCTCTGCTCCATCCTGGACTGGAGGGTCTGAGGGCTGTGGGTGGGAGGACAGAGGGGACACACCAGCAGCTGAGACCCCCAAACTCATCACACACTCCAGGCAGGAGAAGGCAGGGGGTTGATGTACCCTCTCCCCACGGGCAGTGGGGTGGACATCATCCCCATGGCTGTCCCCAACCTGTGTCCTGTCAGGAGTGTGACCACTCGGGCAACGAGCGGCTGGAGGGCCGGGAGCTGGAGGAGTTTTGCCGGCGGCTCCTGCGGCGGCCGGAGCTGGAGGAGCTTTTCGGGCGCTACTCGGGCGAGGATCGCGTCCTGTCGGCCGAGGAGCTGCGGGATTTCCTGCGGGACCAGGGCGAGGACTCCAGCCTGCGCCAGGCCCGCGCCATCATCCGCAAACACGAGCTCAACGACAAGGGTAGGGCTGGGCCTGGTGGTGGGACGGGCACTGCTGGAGCTGTGGGAGGTCATGGATGGTGTGGGGATGAGGCTCTGCTTGGTGTGTCACCCCCTCCAAACTGGTATGGGGTCCTCCAAGGCTTGGGTGATTGTCCCCGAGTGTCCCTTCCCAGGGTGTCAGCCATCCACCATGTGGCCCTGCTGGTCCCTGGGGGATGTGGCACTGCAGGGACAGGGGATGTGAAGGTAGCAGGTGGATTTCCATGTCTCCTGGGTGAAGCAGTGCCAGCCCTGGTGGGAATGTGGCACTGCCAAGGATCTCTGTGTCCCTTGGGCCCTACCATGGCAGGTCCAGATGAACATGGCACTAGGAGGACAGGAGACATCAAGGTGGGGATGAAGGACCTCCATGTCTCTTGGGTATCACAGCAGTACCCTCAGGGTAGATGTGGCACTAGCAGGAGGGGGAACATCAGTGTGGAGATGGGACACCAAGGGGACCTCCATGTCTCCTGTGTGCCACGGTGCCAGGACTGGGGTGAACATGGCACTGTGAGGACGGGGGGGGGGGGGGCAGGGAAACTCCACACCTCATATGTGCCACCGTGCCAGGTCCAGGGGGAATGTGGCACTGGCAGGACGAGTGACATCAGGATGGAGATGGGACACTCAAGGGAATTTAGGTATTCCCTGGGTTTCACAGTCCCAGGTTTGGGGTGAACATGGCAGTGCTGGAACATCCCAGTGGGGACAGTCCCCAGGGTGCCACCCTGCCAGGCTTAGGGTTAGGTGCCCTTTGTGACAGCCACCACCGTGCCCCACAGCCAGGCAGCAGGACCTGATGATGCTGGACGGCTTCATGATGTACCTGCTGTCGGCTGCCGGCGACATCCTCAACCAGGAGCACACCAGGGTGCACCAGGACATGAGCCAGCCCCTGAGCCACTACTTCATCTCCTCCTCCCACAACACCTACCTGACCCGCACCCAGATCGGCGGCACCAGCAGCACCGAGGCCTACGCCAAGTGGGTGTCCCCGGCCCCAAGTGGGTGTCCCCGGCCCCAAGTGGGTGTCCCTGGCCCCAAATGGGTGTCCCTGGCCCCAAGTGGGTGTCCCTGGCCCCAAATGGGTGTCCCTGGCCCCAAATGGGTGTCCCTGGCCCATGGGGTTCCCAGGGGGTCCCGTGGCCCGAGGGGGACAGGGGGACTCAGCTGGTGGTGCTGTGGTGGCAGGGCACTGAGGGCAGGGTGCCGCTGCGTGGAGCTGGACTGCTGGGAGGGCTCTGATGGAGAACCTGTCGTGTACCATGGCCACACCCTCACCTCCAAAATCCTCTTCCGTGACGTCATCGAGAGCATCCGCAGGGCGGCCTTCGAGGTGAGGCAGGTGCTGGGAGCACTGGGAAGGTGCTGGGCACCGAGTGCTGAGCACTGTCCATCCCCTGTGCCCAGAGATCACCCTACCCCGTCATCCTGTCCCTGGAGAACCACTGTGGGCTGGAGCAGCAGGCCACCATGGCCCGGCACATGAAGGCCATCCTGGGGGACCTGCTGTTGACGCAGCCGCTGCAGGGGCAGGACCCCCGTGATCTCCCCTCCCCGGAGGTAAAGCCACCTCCCTACCCATGTCCTCATGTCCCCTCTGAGCCCTGAGCTTGGCCTATGTCCCCTCTGAGCCCTGAGTTCGGTCCTTCCTCCCACAGCAGCTGAAGGAAAAGATCCTGGTGAAGGGCAAGAAGCTGCCAGAGCCATGGCAGGAGCCTCGGGGAGTCACCTGCCTCCTGGACCCAGAGGAGGAGGAAGAGGAAGAGGAAGAGGAGGAGAAGATGCAGGACAGAAGCAACCGGCGGGTAAGGGGCTCTCCCAGGGCTGTGGTGCCGGGGGACCACGACATCATGGTGGTGCTGGAGGATCTTGGAGTCCTGGTGGTCCTGATGGATCACAGCATGCCAGTGCTACTGGGGGGCCATGGAGTCGTGGTGGTCCTGGAGTGTGCCAGCAGTGCTGGGCACTGGGGTGGGTGAGCACAGCCAGCACACCCCACTGCAGCCCCGCTCTCTCCTCTTCCAGTCGCTGCAGGAGATCAAACCTCTGCAGGTGGGTTGTGGGATGGAACTGGGGGGTGATGGGTTGGGTGCCGTGGGGGTGGTGAGTGGCCCAGCAGAGGGGACTGATACTGGGGACTCCTCAGCTCTGCCTCCGTCTTCCCATTGGGCTGGGTACTCCATTTCTAAAGTTTCTGATGCTTCAGGGTCTCCCTCACCTCAAGTTCTCCATCATGTTGGATTGTCCCTCACTTTGGGGGCTCCATCACCTGCAGGGTGATCCCTCGGGGTCTCCATCACCTTGGAGAGGGGTTCTCCATTGCCTCAGTTCTCCATCACCTCAGGGGTCTCTGTCACCTCTCTCCATCATCTCGGGGTGCCCATCACTTCGGGGTCTCCATCCCCTTGTGCTCTCCATGACCTCTCAACATGCTTGGTTTGTCCATCAGCCCACGGCCCATCATTCCATTGCCTCAGGTTCTCCATCCCTTCGAGGGCTCTCAGACTCTCAGGGTGGTGGGGTCTGCAGACCCTTGGGCAGGGGGGTGGCCCCCAGAGCCAGGGTGGCCCTGACCCCACGGTGGCTCCCGCAGGCCAAGGATGCACTGCAGGTGTCCCCGGAGCTGTCGGCCCTGGTGGTTTATTGCCAGGCTGTGCCCTTCCCCGGGCTGGCCCAGGCCCTGCGCCACCCCCAGCCCTGCCACATGTCCTCCTTCAGCGAGAGGAAGGCACGGAAGCTCATCAAGGAGGCGGGTGAGGGTGATGGGATGGGGACAGGGATGGAGACAGGGAGGGGGTAGGGATAGGGACAGAGTGGTTCCCTGCCCCTAATGTCACTGGGATGCAGGATGGGCTCTGTCACCAGAGTGGGTCCAGGGGTGGTGATTAGCTGGACACGCTGGCCTTGGTTGGGTTGCTCTAGACTGGTGGGACTGGGGTCTGCTGGTAGAGTCTGGGGCCAGAGGGTCACAGGACTAGGATCAGTGTCTGGGATCAGGGTTTAGGATGTGGCATCTGGGTCCAGGGTGAGATCTGGGGCTGGGATTAAGATCTGGGTCACAGTCCAGGGACTGAGGTCTGGGGTCAAAGTCTGGGGTTGGAGGTCAGGGTCCAGGGTAGAGATCTAAGGTCAGGGTCTGGAGTCCAGGGCTGAGATTAAGATCTGAGTCAGTGTTCAAGATCTGGGGTCCAGGGTTAATGTCCGGGGTCAGGGTCTGGGATCTAGAGTTGGGATTAGGATGTGGGTCAGTGTCCAGGGTTTTGGTTTCGAGTCTGATGGATCAGGGTATGGGGTCAGGGTGTGGGGTCAGAGTCAAGGTCCAGGATCAAGGTCTGGCATCTAAAGCCAAGGTGTGGGGCCAAGGCCTGGGATCTTGGGCTCAGATTAAGGTCTAGGTCAGCATCCAGGGGCTGAGAACTGGGATCAGGGTCTGGGCTCCAAGTTCAAGGTCCAGGGTTGGGGGCTGAACCGCAGGGCCTGGTTTTGGGGTCCACGCAGCTGGGCAGGCTCTGTCCCTGTCCCTGGGCACACAGGGGGCCCCACACCAGCCCCATGGGCCCCGCTCAGCCCTGTCCCTCCCCAGGCCCGGCGCTGGTCCGGTACAACGCCCGGCAGCTGAGCCGGGTGTACCCGCTGGGGCTGAAGATGAACTCGGCCAACTACAACCCCCAGGAGATGTGGAACGCCGGCTGCCAGCTGGGTGAGACCCCCCAGCCCCCTGGGGCACCTGGCACCCCCCCCCCGGCGGTCACCCCCCCCCGCCCCCCCCCCCCCCCCCCCCCCCGGTGCCCCCCAACTCCACAGCTCCGGGATACGAGATGGACCTGAACACCGGGCGCTTCCTGGGCAACGGGGGCTGTGGGTACGTCCTGAAGCCCCCCTGCCTGCGCAGCCCCCCCGGGGAGGGGTCCCGGCGCCTGGAGCTGCACATCAGGGTGAGGGCACCCCACGACCCCCGGGTGGGTGCCACCCGTGGCCCTACTGGGTGACTCCCATGACATTCCAATGCCTGGCTGCTATTCCCAGGTGACACCAACCCTGCTCCCAACCAGGTGCCACCCACGTCTCTTCCGGGTGACACCAACCCCAGGCAGCCGCCACCCATGTCCCCTCAGGATGATGCCAACCCTGTGGCCAGCCAGGTGCCACCTGCACACCTTCTCCTTGGGTGCCACCAACCTCTCTTCCCCTGAGGACACTGACCCTGTCCTCAGATCTGTTTGGGTACCACCCATGTCCCTTCTCCTGGGGGCATCAACCCTGTCCCTGCACCCAGACATGTGCCACCCATGTCCCTTCTCCTGGGTGGCACCAACTCTGTCCCCAAATCCAGCTGGTATCACCCTTCTACCAGGTGGCATCAACCACCTCCCTCCTCTTCGCACCAGTCCCAACCAAGTGCCACCCACATCCCTCTCCTGGGGACACCAGCCCTGTCCCCACAGCCCTGTCCCCCCAGGGCCCCCGCAGTGCCCCTGGTGCCCCATCCCCCTGTCCCCAGGTGATCACGGCGCAGCAGCTGCCCAAGCTGAACAGGGACAAGGGCAGCTCCATCGTGGATCCCTTCGTGCGCGTGGAGGTCCACGGGGTGCCAGCCGACTGCGCCCGGCAACAGACCCGGCACAAGCTCAACAATGGTCAGTCTGGGGGCCATCCCAGGGCACCCGATCTCCAGGGGCATCCCAGGGCCCCCAGTCCTTGGGGCACCCTGATCCCCAGGACACCTCAGGTCACCCAGAGGCACCACAGGGAACCCTGACCCCTGGGGACACCCCAGGGCACCCAAACCCCAGGGATGTCTCAGGTGCCCCCTGATCCCCAGGGGGGGACAGTCCCTTGGGCACCCCCCCAGCACCCACCCCCAGCTGCACTGGTGCCCAGGACGTCCCAGTTCCCCCAGTGCCCCCCAGTGCTCTGTCCCCAGCACAGCCTGATCCCCAGCACTGGCAGGGTCCCAGCATGTCCCATCCTCACCAGTGCTGCTCCCTTCTGGCCTCCAGTGTACCCAGCCCAAGCCCAGTATGATACCCGTCCTCCCCAGTATAGCCCATCACAGCCCCAGTATGACTCCCATTCTCCCAGTATAGCCCAGCCCAGCTCCAATAGGACTCCCAGTCCCCCAGTATAGCCCAGACTGATCGCAGGAGGACTCCTGTTCCCCCAGTATAGCACAGCCTGGCCCCAGTGGTACTGCCATTCCCCCAGTATAGCCCACCATGGACCCAGTATGACCCCCATTCCCCCAGTATAACCTAGCCGGACCCCAGTATGACCCCTATTCCCCCAGCATAGCCCATCATAGTCCCAGTATGACCATCATTCCCTCAGTATGATCCCATCCCTCCAGTCCACCATGGCCCCTGTATGACCACTCTGCTCCCAGTATGGTCCAGTCCAGCACCCCTTTCCCCCACTACGACCACTATTCCCCCAGTATATCCCACTGCAGCCACAGTATGACCCCTATTCCCCCAGTATAGCCCAGTCTAGCACCAGTATGATCCCTATTCCTCCAGTATGACCCCTACTCCCCCAGTACATCCCACTGCAGCCACAACACGATCCCCATTCCCCCAGTATGACCCATTTCCCTGGTATACCCCACCGTGGCCACAGCAGGACCCCCATTCTCCCAGTATAGCCCAGTCTAGCACCAGCATGACCCCCAACCCCCAGCATACCTCCTCACAGCCCCAGCATGACCTCTTTTCCCCAGTATACCCCACCGCAGCCCCAGTATGACCTCCATTCTCCCAGTATAGCCCAGTCCAACATAACCCCCTTTTCCCCAGTACACCCCACCGCAGCCCCAGTATCACTCCTGCTGCCCCAGTTCCCCCCTGCCCTGTGCAGGGTGCCAGCCGAGCCAGTGCCAGGGTGGGTCTGGGTGGTCCCTGGGGGCGGGGGGTGGCCCCGGCGGCCCCGCCTAGCCCCGTCCCGGTGCCGCAGGGTTCAACCCGCGCTGGGAGGAGACGCTGCGGTTCCGGGTGGGGGTCCCCGAGCTGGCCCTGCTCCGCTTCGTGGTGGAGGACTACGACAGCACCTCCTGCAACGACTTCGTGGGGCAGTTCACGCTGCCCCTGCCCAGCCTGCGCACAGGTGGGGGGATGGGGAGCCACCCCCGCTGCCCCCCGGGGGTGGGGACGGTCCCCCTGCCCCGCGCTGAGCCCCCTCTGTGTCCCCAGGGTACCGGCACATCCACCTGCTCTCCAAGGACGGCGCGTCCCTGTCCCCGGCCACGCTCTTCGTGCACGTCCAGTGCAGGAGCCTGTGAGGTCCCTGGGAGGTCCCTGGGAGGTCCCTGGGAGGTCCCCGTGGGACGGGGGACGTCGTGTCCCCCCGTGGGGGGCAACGTGCTCCTCTGGGGGGTGGGCACCCTCCTGCTCCCTGTGTGGGGACAGCCCGGGGACACTGCTGCCCTGCCTGTGGTGACAGCACCCAAGGGGCTGGGGGACCCCCTCCATAGTGCCCATAGTGCCACCTCGTCTGCTGGTGCCCTACTCCTTCCCTCCCTGTCCCTGTGACAGCCAGGATGGGGTGAAAACCCCACAGGGGTGACAGCAACCCCCCAGTGTCACCAGCCCTGGCCATGCTTGATGCCAGCTGCAAGGACGGTGCCACCACCACGAGGTCCCCCAGGGGATCCTGCCACCCAGGGGACACTGTGCCCGGCTGGGGACACACCCCCATCCCCTGCCCTGGCACACATTTATACCCTGGGGTCAAGCCAGTCAATAAAGGTTTTATTTTAACAGAGCCTGTCCCGCTGTCCCTGTCACCCCCCAGGGCCTGTTGTGGGGGGATAAGGGCTGAGCCCACCCCCAAACCAGCACTGTCCCAGGGAGCTGCCAAGCACCCATGGGTGCTGCACCCATGGAAGCTGGGAGGGAACAGCCCTCAAATCTGCCCCGGGGGCAAGGGGAGGGTCCCACTGGGTGCCCCCCACCCACACCCAGCCTCCCCCAGCGCAGCAGGGACACCAGGGGGGACACAGAGGTACTTGCATAGGTGACACAGGACCCCGAGCAGGGGGATGTGATGGCGCTGCAGGGGGGGATGTGATGGGCTCCTGGTCCCCACTGGGGCCCTGCAGGTCCAGGCTGGGGTGGGCAGAGACCCTGGGGGTCCGTGGAGCCACAGGGTGTGACAGGGACACACGGGGACAGGGAGGTGTGGGAGTGCATAGACGGGGGGTCTTGGCCTTGGTGTGCAGCTTTGGAAACCTTTGGCTGGGAGGGCAGGAGCATCTTGGAGCGCTGGGTGGACACAGTTCATGACATGGCAGGAGGCTGTCCAGGCGCTCCTTTCCCAAAGTATCTCGATGGAATGAAGGTTTTCCATGAGAGAAAAACTTTTCCTTTATCTTGGTAGATTCCACAGCACAAGATGACGAGCTGGGAGCTGGTGGAGGCACCAGGGTGGCTGGGGAGCCTGAAGGCCCGGGGTGATGCCGGTGGCATGTATCCATATTTCCATGCTTCCAGAGAAAAGCAGCTGAGGCAGCGGTGATGGAGCATCTCCTGGTGCCCACAGCCCCAGCGTTACAGGGAAGGAGCCCCAGGAGTCTGAGCAGAGCAGGGTGTACCAGAGCTGAGTCCCCCTGGATCCTCAGGGGCTGCTGCCCCTCAGTTCAGCACTCGCCCCGTTGCAGGGTTGGAGTCTCCATGTCTGGGAGGAGATGGGACAAGGCATCACTTGCACAAATAGCCCTTAGGAAGGAATTCCGCTGTGCTCCCGAGCCCGCAGGGAGGGAACCAGTTGAACGGAGGAGGGAGCAAACTGGGGGCAAAGAGCCGAGCAGGGGAGAGCCCAAAGCACCCTCAGGGCAGGCAGGAGGACCTGGCCACTGGTCACCACATCCCGGTGCTCCACCACGCCGGTGCCGCAGCCTCCACCTCGATGTGCCCACGGAGAACAGTCCCGGTGCAGCGGCCGAATGTGACTCATGGCAGTTGGGAACAGGAAAGATTTAAAATATATATAATATATACTTTTATTATTCACCCGTTAACTCCATTATATGCCAATCATGATCTAGTTTCAGCAGTTACATTCCCTTGATCGTGTCTTTACGAGGATGCAAATTAGACCAGACGAGGAGGCGGCGGGTGGCGGCGGGAGCCTTGGGCGGCTGCTCCGGTTCCCCCTGGCCCAGTGCGGGTCCAGCTTTGGCAGAAAGGATGAGGGGCAGCACCTCCACCAGGCCCGGCTCCTCCACACTCTCCTGGCAAGGGCTCACTTACTGCAGCACCAGTCCAACCTGGGAGCAATGGAAATGGGGAGTCAGGATGTGCCCGAGCACCGGCGTTCCCAGCTCCGGGCAGACATAGCTCCTGACCCCTCACTGTGCCAGTTGGGAGGGCTCAGAGTTGTCCATGTGGGTTTCCTCACCAGTTTTGGGATATCTGAGAGCAGCAAAGCCCTGGGCTTGTGGCTGAATGGGCACATGGGCACTTGCCCAGCTCTGGGGAGGTGACCAATGTTTGGGGTGTGACAAACCACAAACCCCGCCAGGCTGTGAGACAGACTTGACTCACGAGCCAGGGATGTTCCTGAGCTCATGATTAGAGGGAGGGAGCAGCTCTGCCATGAGCCAGGCTGGGAGAGCTGGGGGGGTTCCCCTGGAGAAGAGAAGGCTCCAGGGACACCTGAGAGCCCCTTCCAGGGCCTAAAGGGGCTCCAAGAGAGCTGGAGAGGGACCTGGGACTAGGGATGGAGGGACATGACAAGGGAGAATGACTTCCCCCTGCCAGAGGGCAGGGTTAGATGGGATATTGGGAAGGAATTCCATTGGGAAGAAATTCTTGGCTGTAAGGGTGGTGAGGCCCTGGCACAGGTTGCCCAGAGAAGTTGTGGCTGCCCCTGGATCCCTGAAAGTGTCCAAGGCCAGGCTGGATGGGGTTTGGAGCAACCTGGGATAGTGGAAGGTGTCCCTGCCTATGGAAAGCAGATGGAACTGGATGGGCTTTAAGGTCCCTTCCAACCCAAACCATTCCATGATTCTATGATCTGGGAGAAGCTGCTTCCCAGAGCCCAGTCCTGAGACAAGTCCCACTGCTGGTGGGTGGTCCTGGGCTCTGGTCAGCCCCACCACAGGGCACATCCTGGGAGTATTCCCAGCACCAGGCTCTCCAACCCACCAGCTCTTCCAGTGAGAAAAGGGATTGCTGACACCTCCTGGGAACCTCCTGGGGTTTCCTGGAAGGCTCAGTGGCCAAGTGAGGCTGGTTTAGGGTGTGTGTTTTGTGTCCAGAGACAGACCTGGCTTCACAACATGGAAGCAAAGCCCCATGACTGCCATCAAGGCATTAATTAGCTATTAAGGCTAATTAGCTGGGATGTAACTGTGCAGATTCTGGCTCTCAAGCACCATCCTCTCCAAGGGGGCTGTGGACTGGACAGATGCTGAACATCTTCAGGGTGGAGGGGCAGTAGCAACCAGGTACTGCCTAAAAACAGCCAGGCCTGGCAGATGGGGTGCCCATGGCCCAGCACTGGGAGCAGCTGAGTGGGGAGTGCCTGCTGGCCCTAGGGACAAGGTGACACCCTGTGACTCCATGGCTCAGGGTGACACAGCTCATCCTCATGGGATCCTGTTCACAACAACCCAACACCTCTGAAGTTCTCCTGCTCTCTCCAGAGGGTGGTTGTTCCTCCCACCCCACTAGGACAGTGACACCCAGGGCTGTGTGGTGACTCCTGGGTCCTGTGAGGGCTCACAGGGCACAGCAACTGCTTCCCAGGTGACTGTCACAACCACTGGTGTCCCATGTGTCACCCTGCAGCCCTCTGCCTATCCCCTCTGTGCCTGCCCTCCTCCCACAGAGGGAAGAGCTTGTCCATGCAGGTGTGTGTGAGGTGCACCTGCACTAGCTCAAGACTAAAATGAGCCTGGAGAGATGAGTGGCCAGGGATTTTCCCCAGGGACAGCCTCTGTGCAGGCACAGCAGGGACAGCACAGAGGAGCTGACACTGGATTCACCTGTCACCACGTGTGACAGACACCAGCCAGCCTGGGAACACTGAGGGGTGTGTAACAAACTCCCCTCCAACACACGAGGAGGACCCCCCACCCCATGGCACTGACCTTCTCTGGGGCCATGCTGGGACACTTCCAATTGTACAGGTAATACTGCAGGTTCCCGTCCCCGATCCCAAACTTCAGCTTCTCCAGGAAGGTTTTGTTTTCCATGAGATCCAGTGCATTGAAGACGTCGAATCCTTTCTGCTCAGGGGAGACACAAAGCCATGAGCTCCTGCTTTTATGCTGGAGAGCTCCTCCCACCTGTGAGCTGCCTGTCCCCCTCTCCTGCCCAGCTCTGCATCCCAAAAAAAGGGCCCAAGGCCAGCAGGGAAGAGCTCAGCCTCAGTGTACCCACCCTCAATCCAAGTGCTATGGACACACAGCAGGACTGTTTGCTGTAGGACACGAGCAGACACTCTGAGCTCTGCTCACCACGAGCTGGAAGGCTCAGGGTACCCCTGCATCCCTCTCCTGAGTGGCAGATCCTTCAGGATTCTAGGAACAGCCCTGTGGCTGGCCCTTCCCACAAAACCAAGAGTGTCCAGCCTGCCATGAGCTTCCTGGTGAGCTGCTGGTGCCCAGCGAGCTGCCAGTGCCCCATGAGATTCCTGGTGAACTGCCAGTGCCCAGTGAGCTTCCCAGTGAGCTCCCACTGCCCAGTGAGGTCCCAGTGCCCAGTGAGGTCCCAGTGCCCAGTGAGCTTCCCAGTGAGCTCTCAGTGCCCAGTGAGCTCTCAGTGCCCAGTGAGCTTCCCAGTGAGCTCCCAGTGCCCAGTGAGCTCCCAGTGCCCTGGTGCCACCCCGTCCCTGCTGTCCCTCACCGACTTGGCGAGGATGAGGGCGTCACTCATGAGGTCAATGAGAGGCGTCTTGGTGTGAACATTGTAGAAGGAATAAGCAGCTTTCAGGCTCTTGTGAGTCGGGTGGTTCATGATGGTGGAGGGCAGAGTGTAGAAGCTCAGGAAGTCTGTCACCTCCCCCGGGGCGCTCTGGAAGGCAGAAGTGACACCATGACATGTCAGAGCTGGGATAAAGCCCAGACAGAGCCTTAGAGGGGCTTTTCCAGTGGGTGGGAGGGGACTCTGAGCAGCCCAGGATGGAGACACCACCCTCCAGCAAACGCCCACCCTGGAAGGGCATCTCAGTGCTCTCACAGCTCCAGCAGAGGCAAAACCCAGGAAAACACCCCCCATCACCCTGCTCCTGTCCCTCACCTCTACCACAAAGGTGTCGATGATGTTCTCCTGAGGTAAGAACCAGTGCTCCACCTCCTCTCGGCTCATCACGGGCGTCAGGTGGAACTGCTTCAGGTACTCGGTCAAGAGCTTGTGCACGGCAGAGATGTCCCTGTGCTCCATGGGCCGCAGGCCGGGAGTCTTGGGAGTCTACAGAAAGTGGGACAAACCGTTCTGTTGCTTGCATGGTGGTTTTTCTCAGCCAAGGGCTCTCCAGCAAACAGCACAGAGATGTTCTCTGCTTAGCTCAGCCCGTTTTCAGCCCCCCAGCCCAGCCCTGCGTGCCCAGCAAAGGATGGATGTGATCGGCCGTGACACTGATGGCAAAGATCACAGAGAGAACAGCACGTTCCAGAGCCCCGTGTGCCAGGTCAGGTCCCACTGGCAGTGGCCTCCTACCCACTAATGACACCAATCTCTGCTTCCCTTCAGGTCTCTGCTCCCGCTCACAGCAGGCACAGGCTGGGAGACGTGTCCTTGCTCTGCAAGAAACTGCCT